GAATTATGGGACAAATATTTGTGGTCATTTATGCTTGATATTTCTACGTGAATTTTGGAATAATGAGAAAAAACTTGAAAGAAAACGTATAAAAACACAGTTATCTGCATAAATAAAATTAGTCATACATTTGACATGTCATCGTTCACAGTGACTTTCAGCGGTAACAGTTCCGTGCTACAATCATATTTTTATCCTGAAATAGAGTTAGATCCGAACTGTAGTTATCAGTGTGGATTATTGGATTTTACAACATACAACTCAATACCGAATATTATTGAGACTCAAAACGATAAATTCACATTTCAATATAAAGTTGATGAAAAGAAAAAAGACAGCAAGGGCAAAGAGACAACATCATCAATTCTCAAAGAGAAAACAATTACATTTCCAACTGGGGCATACGAAGCTGCCGATTTGTTGAAACATCTACAAGCTGAACTCGCTTCTGTGAAAATCAATCTAACATTCACATTAAATCCATCATTAGCAAAGGTTAAGATTGCATTTAGCAGTGACATAACCTGGATAGGTGGTTCGGTTTTGAATGTTCTCGGATTCCATAAAGAGCATACGCCTGTATTTAGAAGAAATCAAACATATTTAAGCTCGTCAATTGTCAAAATTACCGACATCGACATCATTCGAATTGAGTGTGACATTGTGTATGGTTCATATATAAACGGAAAATCCTGTCATACTATTCATCAGTTCCCATATTCGAAGGTGGCACCCGGCTATAAAATAATTGAAATTCCACAGAATATTGTGTATTTACCCATCAAGGATAAGCGCTTGCAATCCATTCAGATTTCGTTCGTAGACCAGAGCGGTAATCCAATTGATTTCCGAGGAGAGAAAATCAGTTGTCGAATTCATATAAAAAAATCTGATTAATAATAATGTTGATTTATACGGACAGTGCTGCTGCTGATGCTAGCAATCCATTCAGGCAATCAAGCTATAAAAGTGCGGGCAAACGAAAGCTAAGTAGTATTCCGTCAACGACATCAAAGCGCAAACGACGTGCACCGAGCAAGAGAAATAAATCGAAATCCAATGGTAAAAAATCGAAAAAAGTGAAAAAACTTAACGCAAAAAACGTGAAATTACTGAAGAAGTTAGGATTCAAAATTAAAAAGCATTAAAAATGTCCAGCATTTTGAACATCGCATCACTACCAATGCGAGATGATTCAATCATCCGAAAAGAAATTTATCAGTATACACCATATACGAATTCATTTGATGAATCAGATGAAATAAGAATTGCTATACAAAATAAAGAAAGTTACTTGGCCCCATCACAATCCTTTATCTATCTACAAATCGCATGTACAACCAATGGTCGACATGTAGACGCTGACGCAGAAATTAAATTCGTAAACAACTTTGCATCGTTTCTATTTAGCGATGTGCGATATGAATTAAACGGCGTTGAAATTGATTCAGTGCGAAATGTTGGACGGGCGTCCACAATGAAATTGATGCTTGCATCTCGATTATCAACACTGAATGGATATGCATCATTTTGCCGAACCTATGAAGCGACATCACCTCGTGCAGATGTAGAAAAATTATACGATGTTGTAATACCATTGAGCGCATGGCTACCATTCTGCGATACATACAATCGATGCATCATTAACTGTCGACATGAATTGATTTTGAATCGTGCGCGCCAAAGTTTGGATTGTACCCATGGCGGTGGTATATTGCCCACTTCAGCTGTGGTCAGTGTGGCGGTGAAAAAAATCGAATGGAAAATGCCTCACATCACGCTTTCGGACAAAGTAAAACTAAACATGCTAAGCTATTTATCAAAAAACCGAAAGATAACCGTTCAACATCGTTCAATGGACATTCATGAGTATCAATTGCCACAGACAACGAACCATTTGTGGAGCGTGAAGACTGTTGCCAGCTCGAATAAACCACGATATGTAGTGGTTGGCTTGCAGACAAATCGAAATGCTCAAAAAAGTGTGAATGCATCTAAATTTGACGCCTGTCATTTGACTGATGTACGTCTGCACCTAAACTCACAGATCTATCCTTATAATATGAATACATTGGATATCGGTGGAGGAATTTACTCTGAATTATATGCATTATATTCAGATGTGCAAACATCATATTACAACAATACGGAAGCCAAAAATCCATTCGACCTTCCATATGGCGTATTTCAATCATCGCCAATATTCGCCTTTGATACTTCACATGCAGACGAATCGCTGGTTGGCGGATCCATTGACGTACGCATCGAACTGAAAGCCAAGCAAAACATTCCGGCCAATACAACGGCATACTGTTTAATTATATACGACAATGAATTTTGGTACTCGCCATTCGACGGAATCGTCATGCGAAACGTATAAAAAAAAAGTGGATGTCATCACTTGAAGTTCAACATTCATATTAAGAATACATATATGAGAGGAGAGGGGAAAAAAAATATATAACGAATAAGCAATGAGTAAAATTCAAGTTGTTAGAGAAATTCATAGTTATGCAAGGCGAAATTTTCCACGTCGACGATTTGCGATGTATGGGATTGCAGAGACTTTGCAAGCTGATTTGATGGAATTTCAACCGTTTAAGCGTGTGAATAATGGCCATCGCTATATATTGATTGTCATTGATGTTTTTTCGAAGATGGCTTTTGCCGAACCTCTGAAAACTAAAACGGGTGTTGAAGTGACGGCTGCAATGGAACGAATTATTCAGAAGGTTATACATCATTTTCCCAATCATCGTATTAATCATCTTATGACGGATGAGGGGACCGAATTCCATAACAAAACGATGAAAAGAATGCTCGAAAAATATAAAATAAATCATTATTCTACGTTTAGCATAATGAAATCTATGATTGCTGAACGCTTAATTCGCACTCTGAAACGACGCATATATATGCAATTTTCGTTGCAAGGCTCTTATAAATGGATTAACATTCTTCAACATATAATTAATGATTATAACGACACAAAGTAATTTTTTTTTTTTTTACAACAAATTGAATTCTTTTGAATATATGTAATAATAATAATATGTATTTCATTCAGACATAGCACGATAAAAATGAAACCGCTCGAAGTCGACAGCACTAACGAATCGCATTTACGTAATACCGTCTACAATTATAAGCGTTTGGAACCATCGGATAAAGCGGCAGAGCAGATGTATTTACATGGAAAAAAACGACCACTGCATCGACGAAGAGCCAAATTTCATGTTGGCGACCATGTTCGTTTATCGAAATACCGAAGCGTAAATACGCTGTCAAATGACAAATCATATACGATAAATTTTACGCCGGAAATTTTTACGATTCGATGTGTAAGATACAGCACCGATCCTATAACATATCTGCTCAGCGATTATCAAAATCAAGAGATCAAAGGTTCTGTCTATGAACATGAACTTCAAGCTGTCAAACATCCGAATGTGTATCTCGTTGAAAAAATTCTTCGCAAGCGAAATGGTCGATCGTACGTTAAGTGGCTAGGATTCGGATCCGAACATAATTCATGGATCGACGATAAAGATATTATTTAAGTTTTTTTTTTTTCTTCCCCACCCTTCCAATTAAATATATATATATAAAAAAGTTGTCAGCCTTTAGAACCAAATAGTTTTTTCGAGTGAGTGAGTGTAGCATGAACAAGTTAAGAGAGGCACGCAAAATGTCGGAAAAAAGACAAAAATTAGATGAGGCATTCACGTTCCGTCCTCTGAATTCGGTTAAAGAAGGTGATTATTGTGTAGAACATACAGTTTACCGAGTCGGCAGGACAACCGATGGAAATAAAAATTTTCACGTCATGACCGATCGAGGAAAAAAATATATTTATGGTATTGAATGTATTACGGGCACATCGAGCAGTGCGAGTGACTTTGAAGCCACCGTGAATGTCACTATGACAGAGATGATTGAAATTTTTAATGCAATTCCATTCAATGACATATGGACGGCGACATTCCACAAACAAAACACAAGTAACGAGTGGGCTGGCGAATTTGTGGATCGAATTGTTTCAATGGATAAATCGGAAGCGGTCAAATTTCTCAAAAAGAACATTCATAGTGCTGACAAAACTGAACGCGTAATGATTGGTAAAAAACGTAACGTTATTTCTAAAAATAACATGTATCAAGTTCAAGACCTTGAAATATACTTTAATGAACTATCAAACTCGAATAAAGATTATGCCGAAAGTAAATCGATTAGGAGTATTGATGTTAACTGGCTACATACATTGATTTATAATAATATTCAATATGTTAGAAAATAAAATATTTAATCCCCTCTATATGTATTTTTTCGACATGCTAACTAAAATAAATGAATAAATAAAGAGTGTGAATTTGAATATGGAATCAGTTGTGTGTTTTTTTTTATTTGTCGATAGTCATCGAACATGGTTAAGACAGTAAAAATTTTTCGTGGTAAATACGCGTTTCTGTCGAATTTACATCCCGTGGATATCACATTTCAAAATCATGTGTATAAAAGCGCAGAACATTTTTATCAATCACTCAAGTGTTTATATCCGACTGACGCTGAAAAAATTCGGAATATGGAAACAGCGAAATCAGCTAAAATTTTAGGACGATTTCTCGTGGAGAGGCCTTTTTGGATTGTCGATCAAATTCATATTATGGAGAAAATTATATGCTTGAAATTCCGTGATAAAGCACTGTATGCAAAATTGATAAAAACCGGCACTAAGATACTTACGAATCAGAACTATCATCATGATACGTTCTGGGGGACATGCGGTTGTACTCAACACAAAAGAAGTGGATTGAATATGCTTGGGCTTATTCTAATGAAGCATCGCAATGATGTATTCTTTAGACATCGCATAAAATACAACAGCACTCAATTTTTGAATAGAAAGAAAAAGAAAAAGAATATTGTTAAAACTAAAAAAATAAAAGAGAATTTATAATTCAAACGATTTATTTTTTATTTAAAAAAAAAACACCTTATTATAACATTCTTCATTTCTCAAGTGATTTGATTGAATAGTGACCCCAGGCCAGCGTGTTAATATAATCCGGTTTTTTTACATATCTTTTATCGTCAAATGGATTAAGCGCTATTTTATTTTGACTTATCGTGTATATATTATGATTTATAGAACGGAATGAATTCTGTTGTCGGGTGACATCTTGCCTATTCATTACGCATGCTACATAATCGCTAAACTGAATTTTATTTCTGACAACAATCTTTTTGGTGCCTTTCGCTTTTTTATTACTGTCGTTCAATTTCTTAACTAAAGTATTTATTGCATAGCACTTTGCGCGTAGACCAACAAATTCATATATAATATTTCCCATCATCTCGTCTTTGAAACATCCGGGTATCTTCTTATTCTTACGTTCTAGATTGAATACATTCGGCAATGGATAATCACTCGTGTCATATTTTTCGCTATTTTTACGCATATCTTCATAGAAATCCGACGTTTCAACATCCATTATAAAACTGTCCGTATCGCTATAAAGAATGTGAGCTTTATCACCATAATACGGTTTAATGAATTCATATAAAAACGAATACATTGTTATTTTAGATAAATCCAAAACACACATGCCGATAGCGATTGGCTTGTTCATAACTATGTTGGTATTACGCATTTCCAACGCTACCAAAGAATCATCGAAAATGCGACAATGTTCGAAATCGGGTCGAGAGATGTACGTTCGCGCACCATTGCGTCCAAACCATTTGTTTACGAGCTTTAGCGTTCTATAATTGCGCACCGACTCCATAGTCTTTCCAAAAATGCTGTTGTTCATCAGCTTGAAGAAATTTTTTTCGAAATCATTTTTTGCTTTGGTCCGCATTTCTGTATTCAAATCGATATATTCTTTAAGCCAAGCACTCTGTCGAAATTTAAGAATTCGATGAACCTTTTTCAATATCATGCCATGACGTAAAGCTAATTTCAACATTCTATAATGTAATATATAATTTTTTTTATCATGTAATGTTAGTAACAATTTTTCAATGTTATTTCTTCTCTTTTTAAATTTAGTCTTATCTCGAGTTTTAAGTTGTCTTTTTATAAATTCGCTTTTTCGCCAATTTTCGGAAATTTCAAACGCATCATCGGGGAGCCTCCTCTTCTCGGCACACAATGGGAAGTCGTTATGCATATCATGGAGCGATTCAGGATAGTGCAAATCAACTTCGAAAATATAACCATGCTGTCCGTCATCTGGCAGATTCATTATCGCATCGGGTTGTGAATAGAGCCATTTCTCAGATTTTGCGTCTTCGTCATTGGCATCATAATCGTCAATGATTTTATTATTATTATTCTCAACCCACTGATAGTCACCGATTGGTAATGATTGACTCATGGCATGTCCATACAGATTATTAGCTAATATGATGAAATAGATTTTTTTTTCTTTTAATATCTAATGAAATATATTCTCGAATGAATAACTTACCATCAAAGTACATAATATAATTTTCTGGTGTATTAGGATCGAATTTCTCATTCATATATCTGTTATTGGCCTTCGCATATCGATGGGATACCTGTGCTATGCCACCTCGAATTGATGATTCAATAAAATATATCATATCAACGTCGGTGAATAATTCAATTTGAACTCTCGTATATTTGAGCATCGCATCCCAGCTAAGTCCGGGTGCTGTGTAATAATGAGCCGGATCCAAATTATAAATTGAATGACATGTTTCACGGAAATTCTCAAATATATCTGCTACTCACAGAAAAAGTGGAGACGGTTTTTCCGCAAATTATTGCAGAAACAGCAGAGCAGCACTAAAAACGTGTTTTTTGTAGCTTATTTTGACAGCTCCGTACAAATGTGTATATTTTGACGTTTGACATTATTTGTCATCAGTTAGACAAAAAATTAGAGTCAATGTAAGTATTTATTTTTTGAATAATTTTTGTAATGTCGTTTTTGCAAATTAAATATCCTCATTTTTGACACAAAAAAAAGTATTTTTAATAGCGTTGTTGTTGTTTTTGTTTTCTTTTGATTTATAAATTACAATGACATACTTGATGTGATGACATACGTATTCATTACAATACATAATGCACATTCATATTTTGTG